TGAGAACAGCCCAATGGCTGCCTCGGCGGTTCGTTCCTGCTCGCGCGCAGCTGAATGGGAGCCTCGCGGAGGGAACCAATGAGAATCAGCGGCCACGTTTCCGTTCATGTGTGAAAAAAAAAATTCCCGTCGCTCGGTTGCCCCAGTGACACGCAGAGAGAGGGCTCACCCAATCACCGGTGGCTCCGTGGATGTGTATCCAAGTCGAGGAAAGGTACCGGATGCTGTTGCTATGGCAACCCTGCATCTGGTACCCTGTGGCTGAAATTTGAGCAGCACGCTGTGGAAGCTGAACTCAACAACAACACGCACCCCTGCCCTAAAAGTGGCTATTTCTAACGTTTAATGACGTCTAAATGAAACATATTTCACCAACAAACACAGATGCATTAGCTCAGTGGTTCCAATGGTTGGGGCCGGGACCCACMGTRGGGTCTCGAAACATCAAGTTGGGGTCTTAAAAATATTTTCTGAATTACTTCTATTTTAAAATGACTACATTTTTGCCTTATTTGTTACAAAGGACTGACAGTGGTGCCTATTTATCATACCCATTTATTTGATCTGCTATCAATGTTTATCAATCAAAAATAGGTGAAGCCATGGATTATTTTTGAGAAATTCAGTACATTTCTGACTGGACTGAGAAATTAATTTGAATGGAGCCAAGACCAAACAACTTCAGCCTCAAAAATGGCAAAGTGGTACCAGTTTTATTGTTATTATTTAAAATTTAACCTTTACATAACCAATTTTGCATCCAATTATTTACATTGGAGCCCAGGTCACTTTCTGTAGGGATATCTTAATATTTCTATTAGAATGACTGTAGGATATTTGAGGTTATCTAAGGAATCAGCAACATTAAGATAATAAATGTTCATAACTTTTATTTAAAATATCACTTGGAAAGATCCGAACCTTCCCTTCAGAGACATTAAGCTTTGACTAAAGTGAATCAAACAATAAAAATAATTTATATTTCAAAAATAAAATCATTTCACAGCATTGCATTTACTTGACATTTATTTATTAGTTTTCAATATACCAGATTCTACACAATTCAGAATTTACATGAACAAAACTGCCCACATGAAATGTTATAATTATGCACAAATATTGTTAAAATTTTAAAGAAATTCACACCAGGGTGGAACCTATTGGCACCAGCATGGCAGCTTCATGGCTAACGCTTTAATTTAATCGCCTGAACAATCTTATCAACATGACAGCATTTTGTTAAGGTTTGTAATACAATCATGTGTTCAAACCAAAAAATGTCATCATTTAAAAGAAAATAAACCAGGAAATTTTATATGAACAAAACAATGTGAAATTCATGCAGAATAAATACAAACTTATGCAGAGACCAAAGATAAGGCAGAGTTCACAAAAAAGTTAAGTTTCCTGTTGAGAAAGTGCTGAATAGAAAAAAAAATATCCATCAGTGAGTTAGAGCAAACAATCTCATATCAGTTTATAGAAAGATAAACTTATATTTCACCAGAACCGGAACACAAACAAACATTCATGAGCAGTTAAATTAAGGTCATTCATTCTGCTTTATGTCAAACAGCTGCTGAACTGGCAAACCTCAACTGACTTTTAATAAGTTTTATTACATGAAGTTTGTAACAAACTCTATTCAAAGAATCCAACATTTATTGAGTGCCTTCCAGGTTAATCTTTATCTGTAACAGGAATTTGTATCTGATCYGGCAAAAAGCTAAGATGAGTTTTCAGGACACAGAACGAGTCTCAGAATTTTTTTTTTTTTTTTTTGGCATAAACTACAACCCAAGTTGCACTTCTGTTAAAAAAATCATAAGTGAATCAGGACATCAGATTCTCATTTCTTAGGCTTGGAGGAAAGAAAAACTCAACTTAAAAAAATGCAGTGCAACACAGTTTTTATGCTGCATTTTTGTGAAGGTTCATCTGATCCTAAATCACATTACACCTTCTCGTAAAGCACTTTGTAACACTCTTAAGAAAAGTGCTATACAAATATTAATAATTATCATTAAATCACAAAACTGTTTCAGCATTACATTTTTTGTACATTTTGTACATTCTGCACAAACCACTTAGCTGTCTTGTCCATGCAAATGTTCATTGTCCCTTCCGGGTAACAAAACAAGGTTGAAATGTTTCCAGGCTCTATTTTAAACATCTAATTCCAGGACATGAAACTAAGACGGAGTATTAGGGCTACACAATGAGATTTTTTATTTGTTTTTTTTTTCTTTATTATGAGAAAAAAAGTCAATGATACATGACATGACCGTTTTCTGTTTCTCAGATGGCTCGCCCTTCCTGTGGACAGCTTCCAATRTGTGTTTATGAAGTAGTCTGATTACTTTTAAATTACTGTTTGTTTGATATGCTTCCATCCACATTATGTGACAACAAAATTCATCAATGCAGCCATTAACTGCAGTGCCATATGAATTAAGCTTATCATATGAATCCATAGAGTTAAATAACACCAATGCCACAAAATAACTTCACAAGATGCTCAGCATTTTAATTTTTTGTGTAGGACTTCTAATAATATTATGACTCTATTCTCAAATTATTTCAACTTTATTC